TCACGCGCTCCCCAGGCCTGGAATATTCTCTCTGCAACTTGCTGACCTCACGGTGCACCTTCAGCGGTCACCTCAGCCCTCGGAGATGCAGCTGACCCACAGAGACCAGGAGGCAGCTAATTCTGCCTCCTCATGAGGCCTGAGAGAGGAAGGCAGATGAGAAGCACCAAATGCCCCGAACAGGGTCAGCAGCCTTTGATTATGAGCCAGATGGATCCAGTCTTGGTCCAGAATCTTTTCTGTCAGCATCATCCCCTGACACCCTTCTCACCTTGTCCAAAGCTCCCTACCCCCTTCCCACAACACACACACACATACACACAGACACACACAGACACACACTCATACGCACATACATACAGACACACATATACACACAGACATACAGACACACACACATAAACACATACATACAGACACACACAGATACATACACACAGACACACACACAGACACACACACACATACACACATACATACAGACACACACATATACACAGACATACAGACACACACAGATACATACACACAGACGCACACACATACACACATACATACAGACACACACATATACACACAGACATACAGACACACACAGATACATACAGACAGACAGACACAGGTATACACAGACACACACACATACACACATACATACAGACACACACAGATACATACATACAGACACACACAGATACATACACACAGACACACACATACACACATACATACAGTCACACATATATACACATAGACATACAGACACACACAGATACATACATACAGACACACACAGATACATACACACAGACACACACACATACACACATACATACACACATACATACAGACACACACATATACACACAGACATACAGACACACACAGATACATACATACAGACACACACACATACACACATACATACAGACACACACATATACACACAGACATACAGGCACACACAGATACATACATACAGACACACACACATACACACATACATACACACACACATATACACACAGACATACAGACACACACAGATACATACATACAGACACACACAGATGCATACACACAGACACACACATACATACACACATACATACAGACACACATATATACACACAGACATACAGACACACACAGATACATACATACAGACAGACACAGATACACACAGACACACACACAGACACACACACATACACACATACATACAGACACACACAAATACACACAGACATACAGACACACACAGATACATACACACAGACACACACACATACACACATACATACAGACACACACAGATACACACAGACATACAGACACACACAGATACATACATACAAACACTACACAGATACATACACACAGACACACACACATACACACATACATACAGACACACACATATACACACAGACATACAGACACACACAGATACGTACATACAGACCCACACAGATACATACACACAGACACACACACAAACACACATATACACACATACATACAGACACACACATATACACACAGACATACAGACACACACAGATACATACATACAGACACACACACATACACACATACATACACACACACATATACACACAGACATACAGACACACACAGATACATACATACAGACACACACACATACACACATACATACACACACACATATACACACAGACATACAGACACACACAGATACATACATACAGACACACACAGATGCATACACACAGACACACACATACACACATACATACAGACACACACATGTACACACAGTCATACAGACACACACAGAGATACATACACACAGACACACACACAGACACACACATGCACGCACACACACACCCCAGAAACCTGATTTACAAAGATAAATGAGATGGGGAGTGAAAAGGAGAGGGAGGGATTGATAGCCAGGGAAGAAATGACTTTGGAACGATCCCTGGCATGCCAGAGACTCGGGCTCCAGCCTGGCAGTGGGGCAGGAGAGAACGGAGTCCTTCCTCTTCTCCCCCAGAGTGACCTGAGGTGGGTAGACGCCTCTCCTCCTTTAAGCCCAGGGATAGCACTTTGCTGGCAAACGGTGACCTTTTGTCACCTCCCAGGAAAAGCTTGAGCAGAAGGAAAAAACATTAGGAGACTCTTTTACCCTAAAAGCCCCACCATCCTCGGGATGAATCGCCTGCCAGGCCGAGAGCCGCAGGGAGCTTTTCCAGTGGTTACCTGCCCAAGATCCTCATAAATTGTCGGCTCCAACACTCAGATGCTAAGCTGAACTTGAGGGGCCAGAGGAAGAGGCATAAACATTAAATACTTCAAGTGTGTCCCTTCAAGTGTGTCCCTTCATTTCCTGGCTTTTTTTTCTCTCCAAAGGAAATCATTCCCCCCCCCTCCCTTTCTCTTTCTCTTTTATTTGACATTGCACCAAGCAGTTGGAGATCACTACTGGGTTTTGATTCGACTGGCAGACCATGAAGCTCTAAGACAGAAGGAGGTTGTGTGTGTGTGTGTGTTGGGGGGGGGGGGGGGGTACAGTGAGGAGTCAGTGTCTGTTCTCTGGAGTATCCATCCTCTCTCCCTCCCTGGCTCTGATCTATCTCCTGATGAGTTCATTAATCTCCCCAAGCCACAGTTTCCTCATCTGTAAAATGGGTACATCATATTTACCTCTGAGGGTGATTGGGGAACTTATCAAGGCAGCTATGCAGAAGACTCCCAACAAATTGGGGCTCTATTGTGGTTCTTTTAGTAAATTTGAGTAGGGTACTTGAAGTATGTTAGTGGTGGCGAGGAAGAGTCCCAGCACCCTCAGCCCCGACTCAGGACATCCAATTCCCACCCCCATTCATTTTTCTTCATAGCTTGGATCCGTAACTAATATAAAACATAGATCTTTGTAATCATCTTTTTTTCTTTTACCACTGGAAATGTCAACACCCCAAAGGCAAAGATCTCGAGATACTTGACTTTCCAATCAGATGCCTGGCACATAGTAGAGTAGATTTGGTGGCTGTTTGGTTGGACAATTGGCCCTTAGACTATCACTCTTGGGTGCTGTGAGGATTTTGGGTTCTGAGGACGGTTGAGCACATGACTAAGTGGTGTCTTGGGCACCCAGAGATCACCATCTCTGTCTCCTCTGAGCATCTCCTGGTCGGTGGCCATTGTACCAAAGAGTTTGAGAGGAAAACAGGGGAGGGAGAGGCAGGCAGGTAAGGCACTTACTTTCGATTCAGTTCCCTGGCACCCCATATGGCACCCTGGGCCCAGGAGGAGTGAGTCCTGAGCACAGAGCCAGGAATGAGCTCTAAGAAATGCTGGATGTGGCCCAACCATCCTTCCCCCACCTCCAAAGAAAAGCTTCCCTGGAATAAGCGAAATGTCTAGTAATAATTAAAAACACCATTCATCCAGTATTCCCTAGGCGCCAACTCCCAGTTGTCCGTATGTGCGCTTCTACTTTTTCCATCCAATCCTTAAAAGAATCCATTTCACATAGGGGGAAACTGAGGCACGAGCAGCTAAGTAATCTCCCCCAAGGCAGCACACCAGCATGTGGCCAAGTTAAGGTTTTTCCCCCCAGGTTGCTGGGTTCAAAACTTTTTCTCAAGGTAGAAGGCTCCAGGCCTGTAAATTCCTTCTAGAAATCATGTTCATCAGTGAGGCTTGGAGGGTGCTGGGGAGGGCTCACAGTGATCCTGAGGGACCCCTCCAGATGAGCAACTCAGTAGCTTCTTTCAGATCTTTTGTCTCGCGAGCACCAGGCCCCTCCGTCAGTGCTAAGTTGGGGTGGGGGGGAAGGCGGGCGGTGGGGGGAGCATTACTGCACACTCAGAAAATTTCCAAGATTTTGTCACAATTTTCACGGGTTCTAGGGCAATCGCTTCGCCGATATATTCATGGCAATGATTAGCGGGCGCACCAGGAATACCAGAATGTCTCTGCTGGCATAAACAGCACATTCACTTCGTGTCTGGAGCCAAATGGCAATCACTTATCCATTATACAAACATTGACAGAGCATCTGCCCCGCGGGTGCAGAAAGAAGGTTTGGGGTGCCTGTAATCCAAGAATCTCTGCCACACTCCTCTGCGTCACGAGCACGGACGGACCACTGGCATTTGCTGAAGCAGGACTGACTCTTGTGACCACAGAGCACAACATACAAGGCTGTTTCGTGGAATCCAAGGGCAGGGATTACATGTTGGCCTCAAAAAGGATTAAGCAGGGGAGAGAGAGAGAAAACAGAAAATCCTCTCTCACAAAGCTAGCCCATTACTGAGATCTGTCGTACTTGTGCGATGCATCACAATTCCCCCTCCTTCTCTCTGGCTCTTTCCTCCCGTGCTATCAGATCCATTTCCCCCAGCTGCTTCCTCCTTTCATTAGCCAGAATCCTTAGCTTCATAGAAATGAGAACCGGCTGGTCAAAACTATACAGGAAGGCAGAGAGATAGGATGGTGAGGAGGGCATTTGCCTTGCACACAGCTGACCGTAGTTGGGTCCCCAGCACCGCATATGATCTTCGAGCACCACTCCGAGTGATCCCTGAGCCAGAAGCAGCCTCTAAGTACCATCGGGTGTGGCCCCCCAAACCTAAACAAATTTTATTTTTAAAGGCATTTCTTGAAAGGATATCAGAAAATTCAGAGACCATCTGGGAAGTACTAAGAACAAGGCCCCATAAAAGTCTAGAGAATGAGACCCCATATAGCAAAACTTGCAGGTACATATGTACACCCCTACACTCTCTCTGTCTCTCTTTGTCTCTCTCTGTCTCTCTGTTTGTCTCTCTCTGTCTCTCTTTGTCTCTCTCTCGCTCGCTCGCTCTCTGCCTCTGTCTTCCCACAGACACAAACTCAGACACTAGAGACCCCATGCATGCCTACCATTCCCACGCAGGGCTTGTCGGGACTGGACTTCTCTGTATCTCTCGCAATACCACCAAGCAAACGCCATTTCTCAGAAAACTACACTTACCTGGCAGGGAAGAGACCATGATCACAAAGGTGGTTTTCCCAGGGTGCGCTTTCTCCATGGCACTCCAGCGGTGCTGACCCCCACAATTTCCCCAAATGTGGGAAAAACTCAACTACAGAATTTGTGGTAGTGGAGTCACACTGGATTCACACTCCCCCCTGAGGAAAAAAAAGGAAAAGAAAGGGAAAATTCTATCTTTCATGGCTTCCCCCGGTGTCTCTAGGTCAGAGGTTACAGCCTTAGCACCATAGACCCCTGGGGCCCCTTTACTCTTTGTCTTGGGGGTGGTCTAATTTATTTTATTTAATAAAATCAAATCAAGGTTGAGCAGCATCATGAGCATGGAGGCAAGAAAGAGAGAGTGAGAAAAGTTTCTGGGACCAGTCAGCACTCTTGCTCTCATGAAAGTGCTCCCTAGTCCTGAGGGTGCTGAAGGAGGAGAGATGGCCCAGAAGCATACAGGGCAAGTGCAGGCTATGTTGGATGATGACGAGTTCCTTGGGGGAAGAAAGTCATAGACAGTGAGTGCAAAGTACTGAAAACAGAGTGGCAGTACCTCAGTTCGACTGGGCAGGAGGCGGTTCATAGAAGGGCCATTTGAATTCTTCCAAAAGGAAGTGAAGAGGGGCGGAGAGCTGTGCAGGGTGGGGAAGGCAGAAGGCAGGGTAGGTCAAAGCTACTGAGGCCGGAGCCTGAGCATCGCTGTGTTGGGGGGGAGTGGTCAATGAGAAGGCAGGGGAGAGGGAGTGAGGGGGAGAGGAGCAGGGTCTGAGGCACAGCGGTCAGTGGAGGCAAGAGTCCAACTCTAAGGAACGGGAGCTGGTACAGAAGCAACTTAGGTCTTCACTGGTTCCCTCTAGCTGCAACACAAAAAGATGCCCCACGAAAAAACTGGAAGCCAGGCAGGAGGCCGTGGCAATCATCCAGGTAAGAACTGACATGTATTTGTGTGTGTGTGTGTGTGTGTGTGTGTGTGTTTTGAATTGGGGGAGGTGGGGGTGTTGGACCAGCAATGCTCAGGGGTTCCTCCTGGCTCTGCACTCAGGAATCACTCCTGGCGGTGCTCATGGCACCATATGGGATGCCGGGGATCCAATTCCTTTTCGCCGTGCATGAGGCAAATGCCCTCCTCACCATCCTGTCTCTCCAGCCCCAGAGCTGCCGGGGTCTAGACCTGAGGAGCGGCAGTGGAGCCAGAGTACAGTCTGAGTCATTCGTGAATGTGGACACCTTCTGAGAAAAGCCTTGTCAGGCTTGTTCACCTGCCTTTGCGGAAGGCAGAAAACCCATATCACACCTAGTCTGAGACGCTGGAGGCACCGAACACCTCACTCAGTCACTCACTGGAGACCAACCTGCACCAAAGTGTTGCAAAGCGACACACAGAGGCAGTCACTGTCCCTTCTCACAAAGATGCACATAACACAACTGGGTGGGTGTAGGAGAAACAGAAGCCCCCAGAGACCTCCAGGTGTGACCTGAGCAAGTCCTCCAGGTGTGGCCCTAAGTTCAGGGCACCTCGGGCACCCTCCAAATCGAAGGAACCAACAGCCAGAGCCAGTTGAGAACTATCTGTAGCACTGTAGCATTGTCGTCCCGTTGTTCTTCAATTTGCTTGAGCGGGCACCAGTAACGTCTCCATTGTGAGACTTGTTGTTACTGTTTTTGGCATATCGAATACGCCATGGGGAGCTTGCCAAGCTCTGCTGTGTGGGCAGGATACTCTTCGGTAGCTTGCGGGCTCTCTGAGAGGATGGAAAAATCGAACCCTGGTTGGTCGTGTGCAAGGCAAATGCCCTACCCCGCTGTGCTATCGCTCCAGTCTGAGAACTATCTGTATATCTGACTATCCATATATCTAATTCTCTAACACTAGCCCAGAACTATCTTCTCCTTAGATAGTTTCTTTACTTTTTCTTTGGTACAATGGGGAGTTGGGGGGTGGGAGGGTCAAACCTGGTGACTTTCAGGGCTTACTCCTGGCTCTGTGTTCTGGAATCACTCCAGGTGGGGTGCCAGGGATTGAACCCAGGTCACCACATAAGGTAAACGCCCTACCCACTGTTCTATCTCTCTGGCCACCTGGACAGTTTCTTTTCCTTTATCCGGGTCTGCTGGGAACCAACTTGCTTAAGTCTAAATGGCCAGCGGGATACCTACAACTCATCGCATCTCCTCAAGAAGCCCCTGGACCTCAGATCACGGCTGAGAAGCCACCCCAGACACGCAAAGAACTTATCCTGTGAGCCGTGGTGAAACCACAACTGATTTTTCTGACTTACTGTCCAGGGCAAAATTCCAACACTCTTGGCCAACTGGCCCAATATGTGTCCACTCACAATGGGCCGAGAATGTAGTACTGGGCAGTCTCTCACCCACAGGTTTCTGGGGCACATTGAAATGAAAGGAAGGGGTGGGCTTAGATGTCCAGTTGGGAATGGGATGATGACTGGGGGGAAGGTTAGACGGATGGATTTTGGAAAGTGGTCAGCAAGCTGACAGGTACTGACAAAAAGGAATTTAAAACAAAAGCACACGCACACATACACAGGCCTGGTGGAGTCTAGACAAGCCTAAGTTATATATAATATTCAATGTGAGATACATATTTCATTCTCTCTCACACACACGTCTCTATGGAAACCTCTTTAGACATTAACCCAGTAGCTCCCACTGGTGTTGGGTGGATTTTGCCTGGAAGCAACATATGGCATCTATCTTGGGGTCCTCTAGCATTTTGAGACGCAGGTCCAAACTCTGACAGGAAGAAAAACAATGGTTCCTCACCCAGTCTGAGCTGGACATGGAGAGCCCTGAGCCAGTGAAGGGTGTGATGGAAAGCTCCCTCTGGACCTGGGTTCCCAGCCTGGTTCTGTTGCCTCGGAAATCATGCAGAAAACTTCATGCAAAACTCAAAAACAATCATGCAAAGCTCTGTAAATGGGAACCCTGCTTTGCTTGTTTGTGGGCCACACCTGGCAGTGCTCGCGGCTTACTCCTGGTTCTGTATTCAGGGATCACTCCTGGCAAGTTCAGGGGACCACATGGGGACTGAACCCAGGTCGTCCAGGTACAAGGCAATTGCCCTTCCCACTGTACCATCGCCCCTAAAGCAGGACCTCTTGAGTCAGCCTCCCAGAGCAGCCTTGCCAATCACACAAGGAAAAACATCAAATCGAGTTCTGCCCAGTGCCCACCGAGGGCAATATTCTGTTCCGATTCCCCCAAGATTCTGTTGGAGGGAGCTGTCTTGCTCTTCATAAAGAGGCCTCATTTGTTGCACGGCTGGTCCTACCCACCGAGGCTCCCTCCTGGTCTGTTGTGACCACCCACCAGCAGGCCGTGAATATTTAATGGCACACAGAAGCCTGTTTCAAAAGCATGTTTGCCTTTGTAGAGCTGCAATTTCTTAATTGCTTGGAGGCAGATGGACTTGGTTTTGCCAGCCAAGTGGCAGGAGATGAGTTGCAGGGTTTGGATACCGGCTCCAAAGGGGCTGTGTCATCTCAGCAAGGGTCCCTGGGAGCAATGTGGGCAGGTCTCGGGGTGACTGGGGTGGGGCGCTCATCTGGCTTCATGAAAACAGGTCGAGGAATGTGACTCCTTGGCTCCTGAGTGACCCACAGGGTGAGGGGGAAGATCTGGGGGGCTGTCAAGAGCCCCCATGTAGAGTGAGCAAGGAGGGAGAAGCTTCAGAATGTGGTTGACTTGTAATGACTGCTGAGTGGGGCTCTGCCAAAGGGTCGCTGGGCTCTGTGCGGAGGTCCACAGGAACTTGGGGGTAACGTTAATCAAAGTAATGGGACTCTCAGACTCATCACACCTCACAATGGCTCCTGGAAGTGGGGACTATCACAGACCTCCTTTCCCGAAACAGAGAAGGTCGGGGTCACCCAGTCGGCTGGCAGCAAGGCCTGGCAGTGACCCAGGAAGTGTGGGGGCAGCACTTGGGCCCTGAAAGGCTGAGTCTCCATCATCTCTGCTGGGGCAAGTTTCTTCACTTAATCACTTAATCACTTAACTTCCCGTTAGTCGTCGATTTGCTCGAGCAGGCGCCAGTAACGTCTCCATTTGTCCCTGTCGCGTGCTAGTGTAGCCCAATGGCATCTCTTCGCTCCGGGAACATGGAGGGCCTCAAACCGATCGTTCATGACCTTGACAAAGAAGTCTGACCATCTGGTAGGTGGGCGGCCATGCAGTCTCTTGACATCCCGTGGAATCCAATCAGTAACAGCTCTAGTCCAACGGTCGTCTTTAAATCTCATTACGTGACCAGCCCATCTGATTTTCGACACCTTGGCAAATGAGACAGCGTCCCTGATCCTTGATCGTCGACGGATGTCAGAACTCCGGATTCGTTCTCTCATTTGAGTGAAACGTGATATTCCAAGCATAGCTCTTTCTATTCTTCTTTGGGAGACCTGAATGGTGTTCTCATCTTGTTTGCGTAGGGCCCAGGTCTCTGAGGCATATGTTAATGCAGGAAGAACAGTGGAATCAAAGAGATGTGCCCGGAGCCGGAGGTTCTTCGTCCTCTTAGCTATTTCTTCGACGTTCTTGAAGGCGTTCCAAGCCGCTCTCTTCCTCCTGCGCAGCTCGGGTGCCAGGTCATTTGTCATGTTGACCTCTCGACCTAGGTACACATAGCTGTTGCATTCGGAGATGGTCGTTCCATTGAGAGCGAATGGGGCGTCAGGAACAAGGCTGCTTCTCATAAACATTGTCTTCGTAAGATTCAGCTGTAGTCCTACCTTTCCACACTCACGGTCAAAGTCGGCCAGCATTTGTGCCGCTTGGCTGATGTTTGGTGTTATTAAAACAATGTCATCAGCAAAGCGGAGGTGGTGTAGTTGCCGACCATCTATCTTCACTCCCATTCCTTCCCATTCCAGTCGTCGCATGATGTTCTCGAGGGTGGCACTGAAGAGTTTTGGTGAAATGGTATCACCCTGCCGCACCCCTCTCTTGACATCAACGATCACTTCTTTGTAGAATGGTGAGATCCTGGTAGTGAATCCGCAATACAGCTCACGGAGGATCCTGATGTATTGGGCTTGAATGCCCTGATTGGCTAGGGCTTCAATGACCGCTTCCGTCTCAACAGAATCAAAGGCCTTCTTTAAATCAATGAACGTTAAGCAGAGCGGCATCTTGAA